AAAAAAGCGATGATGTTCCAGTGATAACCCAGGGAACTTAAAAGATTGACAGAATTTCTGAGTGAGTGTGAAGAGAGTAAAATTATCTGATGACTATGAGTTCAGCCTGGGTAAAACAGTATAGAGGTAAAAAATGAGACCATGATAAAATAATTACCACGACTGTTGTTCAAACTATAAGCCAACATCTGAAAAGATGACTTAATTTATCTGAACTCAAGATCTTTACCCTAATCAATCAAGAAGCAGTTTCATCTGAAAAGACAGGACTAGGTTGTATTTAGAAAGGCATCTGTTTGACAAGAAGTGAAGTTAAAGGAAAGTGGAAACTTGGCTATGGTGGCAGCATTAGGCTATTTTGTATTTCCAGGCTCTATGGTCAACATTTTCACTAACTTGCTGGAATAACAATGTCCAATTTCTCATTGTTTCCCTACACACACGCTATATTCTCACCAACATCTAACCCTGACATCTCTCCTCCCTGTGTTCTCACTTTTTCTTTATCTGAACTTTCCTTGTCTTCTCACCATCATCTGCACATTCAAATTCTCCCACATTGCAAGACCTCCGTCAAACACTTCCTCTTTCGTAGCTTTTCCTGGAAGCCAGAAGCTATTTCTTCCCTTCTCAAAGCAGTCACGGGATTTAAGCGAAGCCTTTCCTAAGACACTTAGTGTGTTTTGCCTGAGAGTACTGCTATAGGCAGAGATGCTACTATCTTCCCAACTAGTCTGCGAAGGCACAGTCTACACCTAAAAGTCCCTTGAAGCCAACTGTAACCATGCCAGTGAAAAGGTACGCAGTAAATATTTGTTGACTGAATCTGTTCCTTCTTCATTTATGCTTTCTCAGTTAATAATATCTTTTCAGGGTACCATTCAATTTCCTGGATCTTCCATCTCTCTCACTGTTTTGCAGTAAATTGGCTGCTAAGTGATATGGATTGAATTATGCCCCTGTACACCCACCAAATCTGTGTTGAAGTCCTATCCTCTGTCATAATAAACACCACCTGTTTGGAAAGAGAAGGTTTCTTTTGTTATGTTAGTGTGACCATACCACAGTAATGTGGATCCTAGACCTCATCGCTTCTAAGTAATAATGCATTAATAAGAAAGTATTCTTATTCTATAGTTTCAACTAACAGATTCCTCAGAATTTCTAAGAATGTAACTCCTTTTTTTTTGGAATTCATTTTTTTATTAATCATTTTATTGGGGCTCATACAATTCATCACAATCCATACATACATCAATTGTGTAAAGCACACTTAGACATTTGTTGCCCTCATCATTCTCAAAATTCGCTTTCTGCTTGGGTTCCTGGAATTAGCTCCTCATTTTCAAACTCTTTACAGGAGTGGAAAGTCTCAACTTT